CTGTGTCTTTGAGTCTGGGCGGAGCCACGGAAGAGTGCCATTACGTCGAAGTTCGGCCATCTTTGCATTCAGCTTATGGGCAAGGATGATTGTCAGAGGCATGCACTCATCAGTTTCATCAGTTGCATACCCGAACATCAAACCCTATAAAAAAAGAATAACACATTAATGTACATCAAACATTTAATACACAAGCCAAGTATTTTATATTTACTGACCTGGTCTCCTGCCCCAACATCCTCTTCACTGCGATCAATATGCACACCTTGAGCAATGTCGGGAGACTGCTGCTCAAGGGCGACAAGAACGTTGCAGGTCTTGTAGTCGAAGCCTGTGTAGGAAATGGTTTAAGATAAAGACTAGGAACTGCAACAAAGTTCACATATGCACACATGAAAACGAGCTGCACCTTTAGAGGAGTCATCATATCCGATCTGGCGGATGGTCTCACGGACAACTTTCTGGTAGTCCACAACCGCATGGGATGTAACTTCACCCGCCAACAGAATCATCCCGGTCTTGGCAACAGTTTCTGCGTTAGGCAAGATGGGCACGTGTTCATGTGAAATGCAGTTTTTTTTTCTATAGTAATTCAAGCCATTAAAAAGCAGTTATTGTTGTAATTGCAGTTTCTCTTGTTTTCTGCAATCCCCAGTTCTATCATGCATAGGAAGGAGGAAAAGAGGGCGTCTTACCACATGCGATCTTAGCATCGGGGTCCTGCTTGAGATGGGCATCCAGGATTGCATCACTGATTTGATCACAGATTTTGTCTAGAAAAAAAAAACAAAAAAAAAATAATCCCATACATAAAACTTGTAAACTTACAACACATTAACAACAAAGCGAAAATGCAATGCGGTCCGGTTGTTGTTTTTTTGGCAGGGATAGAAAGAGCACACGGTGTCTCCTTACAGTCGCCATTTCAGCAGCTCCACATGTGGCGGAGAGAGCGCGCGGGCAACTATACCGGAAAACAAGCCCTCATATAATATAATGATGACACTAATCTAATCCCTGGTTGCCCGTTTCAAATATATTTCAACCACACTTTTAACTATATGTATATCTAGAGCGTGCAATGAATCTACGAAGGAACACGGCATTGTATAAGCTAGCTAGCTAGCTTTAGCTTGTAGCAGCGCGTGCTCTTAAAACCGGACCAGGACAGCTGCGTGGTGGAAATGGAATTTAATTTATGTTAATTTCATAAAAAAAAGAAACCCGAGCCGCGACATGTACAGTTTTAAGAAGACAAATGCAACGCTTAAACATCCTTGTCAAGCTGCCATTTATGTGAGCTAAAAAAAAAAAAAAAAAAAAAAAAAAGGCCGGCATTTAGCTTCTTACCGGGATGTCCTTCTCCCACCGACTCTGAGGTGAACAAGAAGCAGTCCTCCTCGATCAGGGAGTTGTGGAAACCGTTTATCTCTCCGTTCATCATGACTGCGGCTGCTTTTACAAAGAACAATAAAGGCTAGGTCAGGCTAACTTGGTACCAGCTTAAATAACTGCCTAATTTCTATCTTTTTCTCTGTTCTCGCAGAGCACAGGTTTCCTCAACCTATCTGTTTGATCCTCAAACCTTCGCCTCATGGCGCAGAGCTCCGATATTTATACTGAGAAGTCAGACGTCTTCACGTCAGATGAGGCGGTCCGTATCGCTTAACCAATCAGAGAGTAGTACCATACTGTACAGGAGGAATGCGTTGCTGCGTTCAAAATCGACAAGAATCACATGCTTATGCAACGTTACAGTTAAGAGTGAGGTTTTCTTCAGGGACTGCTGCCTAATGTATCTCTATTCGAGCCATTTGCGATTATTCTTATTAGAACTGCACCTGTATGATAAATGAAATCATACTTTCTCAGCAGAAGAATGTTTTATTGGCATATTACATAAGTTTAGGTCTGACATTCTTCCACTACAGCATTTGTTGATATTCCCCGTTTCTTTACATAAAAAAAAAGAACATTATATTTTTATTCTACTTTAGTACTAATAGTTGCTGGCCTCTGTTAAACACATACACACTCAGACTTGAGCACCGTGTTTTGTCTCGGCTTCTAACTCATTTTCAGCTCTTTCTGGGCCCTTATCCAATAAAGAACCCCAAACCTAACCATTATAAGTGTATACACACCTAAGTGTACAACGTTAACACTGAATTGAAACCTGTCACAGTTTATTTAGGTTTAAGTTTAGCAGAAGATGTCTATTTTTTGCTTTTTTTTCCACAGAAAAAACACATAGCTATATGTGCATTATCTAGAACTCTACCAACAAATAAGTGGAAAAGTAGAAATGTAAACATATATTTAGTTGTAGGGCTGCAACTAACATTTATTTTGCAAATCGATTAATCTGTCGGTTATTTTTTGGATATCAATCCGATAGCCAAAGCCCTAAAGATTTTTTTATTAAATTAAACCAGGTGAAATTAAAACGTTTCCACTTGAGGAGTTCTGGATAGAGCATATTGACAGACAAAAAAAATTTTTCTTTTTTTTTTTATCTTAAATGTAAAATGCTTATACATACATATATATATATATATATATATATATATATATATATATATATATATATATATATATATATATATATATATATATATATATATATATATATATATATATATATATATATATATATATATATATATATTTGATTTTTTTTTTTACAATTTTGATATAATTACTGCTCTAAGAGGGTCACTCCGACAGCTAAAGGCATACTTAAAGTCTCTAGACTCTATTTAACGATTGATCTATCACTGTCAATTATTTCAATAATCAATTAATCCGATTAATTGTATCAGCCCAATTTAGTTGTCTTCAAAAGTCAAGAAAATCTTAGACAATGTGACAATGACAGTAACACATTTAGAGATTTTCAAGGTTGCATTTTGAAATCGCGACAAATTTATCTGCAGACTGGCATGAGGTAAGTTGCTTAAATAATGACACAAAAGTAGAAATATTTCTTGCTTTATAGAGACACTAATCACCTTTATAAAAAATCAGGTTTTTTTTTCTTTGGGTCAAGTAAATAAAAAGCCTATCTGAAGTTTAGTTAAATGAATACAACCATAAAGACATGATTGACTGCAAATTTCATTAAAGATTTGGTAGCATTTGCTATGTTTATCACACAGAAAAAAAATGCTTTTCCTCGAAACCTATCAACCACTGTGTTTAAACACAGTCTTCCCTTAAGTCATCCAATACCACGCAGTCCTTTTGGGGATCACAGGAACATCAGCATGTCTCCTATTGACAGGGACAGATTATCCTCAGCCACTGGTCACATTTGACTTTGCTTAAAAGTAAACAATGGTTCTTGGAATAATATTAAAGTACATACAGGAGAAGCTATATTTGAAATAATGTGATCATATTACTCTAAGATGATGTTCTTCTGCTCTATGCCTTCACTAAGATGATAATATTTGATCATTGCATTGGTTAAACCTACTTTGGTTATCGCCCCATTTATTTGGAGGCAATCAGCATTTTTATGTAAGGAACATAATAACTTAAATACAAAAAATAAAAGGGAGATTTGTGTTTTTTATCATTAATAAGTTGATATACAAAATATTGATATTATCTATAAAAACAGCTCTTCTGAAATCTGATGGTGGACAAACTGAATCTGTTTTGTTCGTGATTTGGCTATTAACCACATTCTTACAGCAGGTCTTTATCGTTTCACTCAATTCATCCTCTATCAGTTTCACTCTGTTTTATGGTTTTTATTGGTGTCAGCGGATCATGCAGGTCAATCATTGAGTGGTGTTGCATCAGTAGAGCTGAGTCAGTATGAATCTATCCTGTGGACAATTGTTTCAAAGAGGGGGGGGGGCATGATGCAAGACGTACTTAGTGTTACATTCAGTAGCATCATTATAATACACTTCAACACATTTCTACATGCATATTTATTCAGTCTAAACATAGGTCAATAACCTAATGACCTGCCCAAAAAAACATTCTAGATATTTGTCTACTCTAAATTTAGCTATAATTCTGGACTTTGAAAGAAAGATGTTGATTTACACTATAACATTACATTGACCTGTTTTTGATCAAATGTTTAGAACAAAAACTACAAATTAGAAGGAGTTCAAATTCCCTGTGTAGGATTCAGGGTTTTAATTTATATAACGGCTTTTGCTCTTGTTTCTTTAAATGCATGCTCATGCTGAGTCATTGTTTTTGGCTTTTCTATTTTTTTTTTTTTTTTTGCTTTGTAATCTCTACAGACACACCTGTTAAAGTCATGCAGTGGAATTATAATTGATCGTGAAAACTGAAATAACATTACACCGCAATAAAAAATAAAAGGTATTGCAGAGGCACTGACACCTCTTGAACCTTTTCACATTTTGCCATGGCACAACTACAAAATGTTCACATCATGAGGCATGCCATCACTGTGTTTCACTGTCGGGGTGACTTTTTCAGCATTAGTTTTCCTCTACAGGCCAAAACACATATTCTACCCTAAACTTCAATCAGACGTTCCTGTGACTGTCTTTAAACCAAGGCCTTCTTTCTGCGTATTCATATAAAAATACTTCTCAAGCTCACATCTAACTGTTCAGTCAGCAGATTCCTCCTCCTGTGTTATTAAGGTCCTCATGACTGCTTCTCAGATCAATGCTCCTCTTGCTTAGCTTGTCAGTTTATGGCAAGATGGAAACACATTGCTAAGTTTGCAGTTATGCCACACGCTATCCTTTTTAGAAAAATGAATTGAACACTGATCTATTCAAAGCATGGGATATTTTTTCTGTTACTTAACCCTTCTGCTTTATTTCTTATCTAGTACATTTAGATAAGCGACACCTGAGAGAGCTAAGTTGCCCTGTATTATACTGAAGGGTGCTAAAGAATATTCAAATTAAAATCAAATTAAATACAGAAAAAGATGTGGTTGTAACATTAAAAAAGGTAAGAAAAAAAGTAGAAAAGCAATAAACACACAGGACAACTTAAAATATCACACTTTATTCCTTTGAACAGTGTTGGACTAGATAGGGGTTAGAGAACAAAGCAAGAAAACCATAAACAATCTACTAAATGCTTTGAGCCCAGACTTGAACAGAGAAAAAACTACTTTATAGATCATCAACATAAATTATAATCATTTACTTCATATTACTTTATCAATTATTAAACCACGTGTAGATTAAACCATATACACTCATGACAATGGAGTTTTCATTTACTAATATAGAAACAATTAAATCCTTTTATTAGAAAAAGAAACAAATAATCTCAGATATAATTTGAATATTTGCCCTGAAATAAAGCTCTGTCACTGGCCAGCAGAATTTAGGCTCATTTAAAAGTTACATAAGAAAATAAATACATAATTTAAGTAAAATAATCTTTATGATATAGATTGTCTCTTATATATATATTTATACCTATGATTTTTCTTCACATACTTCATATTTTCTATATTCAATCTACACAATTACCAAACAGGTAAGATTCAGCAGACATTTCACAATAGTCACAAATCATGAATGCACTACTGAACATATCTAAATTATCTAAACCTGGACAATCATTTTTCATGTCAAACAAATGTCAAGTTGTTTTTTTAATCAGTTTCAAAAATCTGGAAAATACATGAAAGATTCATTTCATCTCTTATTTTTTCTGAGGATATCTACTCGTTATTTCTTAAACTTACATCTAATATTGAAGTCAGAAATGTATCCTGTCCTCACCACATTTCTTCTAAGAATTTTCACAGTCACAAATATATGACAAAGAGGAGTCAAAAACAGCACTTTACGGCACAAAAAAAAAACAACAGTACCGGAATGTACAGTATGTCCAGCAGCAAACCATGCAGGTACAGCCCTGGTCCCATTCACCGCTTCTGTAACTCATCCATCCATCATTTAAAACACACAAACACACACACACACACGCTTTCAGAAATAACACATACATAGACAGCTAACTATGGACATACAGGAGTTACGGCCACGGCACGGTCCTACTCTAACAGCCTCAAAGTTACACGTCTATAACGATGCATCAGAGATCACAGTAACTATGAAACACCATGACTGAGACTACTGTTATGGTCTTAGTGATACCATCAATGGGAGACAGATCTGAGAAATACAGAAATTTTTTAATAAAATAAAGCATTAAGTCATTTCATCCTTTGTACTCCCACTGTGGTGTTAAATGATGAGACCTAAAAGTACAATGAGATACTCTAGCAGATTAATCCTTGAAATTTCATGCCCACTTCAGTGAATTGATCCAAATTAAACTTTATAGTCTGAGCCAAAAACTGATGATTTGAAAATGATTTGAATCAGGAGGGCTCCCAAAATTTCAGCCTGTGACCCCAAAAATAGTAGTGCATGAGACTGACAAAAACCCCTAAAAAAATGTTTATTAACTTTATACAGTACATACAACAAAAAAAAGTATTTTTAAATGAATTAAAAATATAATTAATTGCTTGATTTTTGTATTTTAATATATAACTATATCAATTATTTGTGCATTTTATAATTTGAAGATTATTTAATAATTAAATAATGATTCAAATATGCAATTTTTAATAGGAAATTAGTATTTATATTACATGGGTCATTAAATAGTTTTTTGTGACATTTACATTTATTGATATATCTATTTACTTGATTTAGTTTCATTTGGCCTACTTTACATTACAGGGTTCACATAACAGTGATTTCTGAAAAAAATCTTCCTTTCAGACGCCCCCCCCCCCCCCCCCCCCCCCCCCCCACCCAGTGTGGGTCATTAGGCCTAATTTGTAAGTCGCTTTGGATAAATGCGTCTGCTAAATACATTAACATAAACTTTGGGAATCGTCCTGATTTACATGTTGTTGTGTTTTATTTTTTAATACAGACTTAAAAACAAACCCAAAAAAATGAATTATATGAGGAAGTTGTGTCCAGGGAAAAAAAAAAAAGTCACACAGGATCAGCTCAGATATTGTTGTGACTTGGTAGTGCAGGCCCAGCCGAGAGTTACTCAATCAGTTCTGGCGAGGCAGCTGTGCTGCGACAGCCGACACCACCACCCACACATATGGCGACTATTTAAAGGTGCTCACTTCTGGTGCGCACTTCTTACTCCTCAGACTAGCACATGTTGTGCATCTGAGGGCTTCCAGAACCTTTGCTCCAGACTCACTTTGGTTCTTCCCTGTTCTTAACGCACCTAGGAAATGCACATTTCTTATAAACGGCTCCCTGCATAATTGTGCAACATCTTAATGAACTGACTGATCAAAGCAGGGGATTATCTGCATGGCAAGCCAAGTTATACAGCTTCCGCTGTACAGTAACGGGTAACATGAGCAGAGGTGGACAATTGAGGTCCAGAAAGTAAAAAGCCAGCCTTGTTTCCCTTCATTTGTTCATTTAACTAAGCAATTGATTCCCATCTATGTCCTTGAAATAGAAATGCAAAGGTTGAAACTAAGTCCTGTACCTGGTTTTTCATTCCCACACCTGAATGACCCACTTCAGACTGGCAAGGAGTTAATGCAGTGCCTTGCAAAAGTATTTTAGTGTATTTTACTGGAATTTTATGTGACAGACATCCCTAATGATTGCGAGGTGGAGGTAAAGTCATAGTCTCAAATGTGTATTATAGAACAGTAAATATCTGTAAGTATCATTAAAGACCAAGGAATAGAGCAGACAGTCAGGGATAAAGCTAAAGATGTTTGGATCAGTTTATAGAGCACTGTTTAAACCCTCAACCAAAAGTGTAAAACGCCATGGTTGATGCACTCAAACTTATGTTTAAGCCATCCTCTGACACTGACAGGTGGGATAAAGAGAGCATTTATCAGATAAGCATCCCAGAGGCCCATGGTAACTCTGGAGGACAGGCTACAGGCTTCCACAGCACAGGTCTCACTGAGAATATATTGAAGGGACAGGTATCCCTTATGGACGCTACAGGTCTAGGCTGATTTAAAAAGTGGGAAAAAAGTTATCATTTTGAAAGAATGGAAACGTACCCTATGTAAAAACTAAAATATATGCAGGGATACACTGCAAACATGAGGAAGTAGGAACTCAGGTTATGAGATCCAAATCTTGTGGTCTTCATATAGCATGCTGTGTGGATAAAAACAAAAATGGTACGCCATCCTGAACATCTGTGAACGTGAAATGATAAAACCCTTATCATGATACTATGGCGGTGAATTTAATCAGCAGAAACAGGAAAACTAGAGGGAATTTATATCCCAAAGGAAAACCTCTTAGAGGCAGCAAAAGAATAGAGATCAGGACAGAGCTTCCTCTTTTTGTCACCTTAAAGTTTTGTAAATGGACAGCAATTGGGGTAGTCAGTCTGCCTCCATTTGATCCTGACTTATTAAGGAAGGCATTTACCTGACTTCTATAGGGGTAAAATGGGTTTACATGTCAATGGAATGATGCAGTGATGAAGAGGAGGAATTTACAAGTCTGAATTTTAAAAGGTCTGCATTTTATAAGTTATCAAGAGTATCATTAATCCATCATCCTTTATTAATAGATTTTAAAAAAGCAAAACAAAAAGAGGATTTTATTTATAGTCTTAAAATTGATGCAGGTGCATCAAAACTCCTGTTGTCCTACACTGCTGGCTTTATTCCTGAAGGTCTGCATCTGTGATTTATGTTTGAATCGTATTCATGTCTGCATCCAAATTCTGACTGCATGTTTAAACTCTATGCCGAGACTTGACATGTTTTGACAGAGCTCGATTTTTGGAAAGAATTGACAAAGTATTTAGCATCTACATGTGCAAGAAGACTTTCATCTGTTGCATTGCATTGAAAAAGCTGTTTATTAAAATGTTGTTTTTTTAGTGTGATTAAAATTTGGATTTGTAAAAACACTAATAAGGACTACTTTGCAAAGGTAGAATCCCATAATCCCATAGAATCCCATAATTTAATGTCGTAATGTGATAAAATGTTTACAATTTTTAGGAGTAAAAAAATACTTTGGTAAGACACTGTACACAGTTTGAATTCACTTCTATCAGGCCTACCTGTTCCAGAATACATAAATGTCACCTTGTTTATTTTCACTACTCAGAGCCAACTTCTTGATACATCAAATTGTGCTGTGATAGTGATGACTGATTGCTTTAGAACTGTGATCTGCGAGTAAATCTTAAAGCAGGTTGTCAGCTTCCTGTACTGTCTACACCTGAGAACGGACAAAGGTAGAGAAAACACTGACAGAGTGAAAGGTTTAGAAAATAAATAAAACATGCCAAGTGCACAGCTTAATAAAATTACTCAAGGCCAAGTAGAACCATCTGACAAACCAGATGACTATTCCTGAAAAAGATGGCAATATAAACTGTATATTTTCTGCACAGAAAACATACAGAGCGCTGAATGTATGAAATAAAGACACAACAGTTGGTTATGTAATCTGTAAAAACACCCTCACATTCCTGAAGCCTTCGCTTTTTTGTCTGTTTTCCCGGAATCAGACGCCTGGTTACTGCTGCCCTCTGCTGGGCGTCCAACAGACCCGCTCCCTGCAGCGGCCCCGTCGGTAATGCTGAGTGCCTTCACCTTGGACTCTGCAGGGCTGCTGGAGCGACTCCCAGAGTGACTGCGGCTGCCGCTCCGGTGCCCGCAGCGTTTGCCCTTATGTGGACTTGGACTGCGTGACCTCATCTTCATGACAACGGTGCTATCGTCTTCTGAGCTGAACTCAGAGCTGTCTGAAGAGCTGCTCTCGTGGTCGACAGTGGGTAGCTGGATCTGAGGAGAAATGAAAGGGAGTTGGAAAACGCTGCAGGATGAAAGCCTTTTATTACAACCAAAAAAACGCCATGCGAATGATTACCTGAAATGGCTCTGTTACACCTACAATGGTGCTCATGTTGTTGCTATAGTAACCCAAGATAAAGTCCCCTGAGCTTTTGGGTAATTCCTCCTCTGTAAAGGTTACCTGGAAAGATAATCAGTCATTTATCGAATGTGACAGAAAAATTATCTGTGAGGAAGATCCAGCGTGCATCTAGATTACCTCATGTTCCTGTCGGAGAAAATCAGACTCATCCTGCTTTGCCCACACATATCCAACGTAATCTTTATGGTGCTTGAAACCCACCTGTTGGTGTGAAAGCAACATCACACCAGGTAACTAATGCACCCAAAGTAGTAACGCCAAGAACGACGCTTATAGATGTGTTTGTTCTCCACACAATGCCTTCCGTGAGGGAAGCAACAGTACAGGTTACCTTGTACAATCCGATCCAGTCCCATGAGCTGCGAGAGAAGTTGGGCACCACTTTGAATATCACCTTCGCATCTTCAACACTGTTCCACTCATCCTCTACTATCAGAGTGACCAAAGAAATGTCCACCCTGTATGGGAACTGAAAAGATTTAACAGTTTAATGTCTTCCTCATATCATGCAATCCCATTTCTTTTTTTTTTTAAAGAAAGAGGAGATTGAATTAGATGCATCCTAGACTCGCAGTGAAGCTTTGGGAAAAAGATTCTTGCCAAAAACAGTAGCTATGGATGGAAAATGAGAGGAGAAAAGCTGCTCAAACAGTTTCTGTTATTCTAAGGCTTCATTGGTAGATTAGCAATGTTTGGGTACTTTAACTGGTCTTAGGTCACAACTCTCTGGTACTGTTTCTGTGTTACAGCTATTTTACCATCTGAAAAACCTGTCATAAAATATACCTTAACAGTCAGTGAAATCAAATCTTGACTATGGGCCTGAAATTAAATTGAATATGCAGATTTTAAAACAACTTATGCCATACTTAGTCCTGTTAATAGTTTTCAGGTATTCTCTCATTTAAGTGGAGCCTCACGGATGACAGCAACTTTATGATGCTTCCCGGTGTGTCCCACCTGCAGGGTAAAGATGGACGACACTGGTTTATGGTCGCTGACGGTGTACTCCATGTGGCTTCGGTAGCAGTGCTGTGTCACTTTGATCCCGCTGATCAGTCCTGAAATCGAACCACGCTTCCCCACATTTTGAGCAGCTGGCGCTGTGGCCCTAAGGCGCCACAAGATCCGGTCAGTCCAAGCTGGTTTACGCTTCTTCCCACTGGGGTAATTTTAAAACAAAGGTGAAACAAGAAAAAAAAGACAGTTTTAAAACAAAGCATGTAGGGAAAGAAAAGCATTTTCACAATCCCCTCAGGGTGGTGAGGACCTTTCAGAGAGCAGAGTGCTCTTTAGCCTTGTTCTGTGATCTCTGATCAGTGGCCTAGAATTTGAAATGGCACTCCTGGCTTCACCCACCTTGTATCATATGTGTTTGTTCCAACATCAAACTTGTAGGTGGGGGGAAATTTCAACGGCCCCTCGTGAAATCCTTCCAATACCGTCTCACTGTCTTTGGCCATGTTTAGCTGCAGAAAATTACAATAAAAAAAAAGGGCAGACTGTTTCATTAAGAAACATTAAAGACACTCTCTGTTGCCCTCTAGTGGCAAAAAAAAGCTAATTAAATTCAAACTAAGGATTAGATGAAGATTAATTTTAGTTCGATTCAGCATCTTAAACAAAACTGTTATGATTGTAAATACATAAAATCTACAACACTTTGTGTAAAAACATAACCCAAAACAAAGAGAAACCACATGTTTTATGTAACGCTTTTAAGGAACAGCTGCTGTCCTGTAGTAAAACACAAAAACAAAAATTTTTCTGTTTTACCTGATCCTTCTCCCACAACATGGGGAACTTGTTGTTGTCTATGGCTGATTTTACAGCTTGGATTTCCAGGTCTTCAATGCGGAAATTGAGATCTCCAAACCAGAACACAAGACTTAAAAAAACAAAAAACAGATTTGATGAGAATCAATCATTAAAAAATAATCAGAAAAGAGTCTGTGGTTGAAGATGGTGATAGAAAACATGTGTAGGAGCATCTCAGTCTTGTGTCATAAACCATGATAATAACTTTGGACACTGGGAAACAAGTTTCCATGCTTTATATTAAACATGTGTCATTAATTGGGTCTATATAAGTATACATATCCATTGTGTCAGGAGGATTAAGGTTTGCCCGCTGTTGGACAGTCAAGTTTCTGCAACTCTTTCAAAGCCCAAGACAGTGGCTGAATCCCAAACTGGCCAGCCAGTTACTGACCAGCTCTATGATAAGGGAAAGCCACAGAAAGGTAACTGATAAAGAAATCGGCAATTCACTGAGTGCTGCAACCCGATTTTAATGGAATTTTGTTGTGGAATGATCACGCATGCTAGAAAAAGGAGATGGACAAAAAGCAATAACTGAAGCCTTGCCAGGTTTCTAAAGCTGAGCCTATTAGCCTAAGAGCTTCAGGTTGATTCATGAAGTAAGCTGCAGCTCTAACCAAAGCTTCAAGATACATGACACTGGAGTATCCAGGGTGGGGTTGATATGATATTCCACCAGGACTTTTCAGCTGACCACACTGCCAAAAACACCAATACCAGGTTTGGACTTCCATTTCATGCCAGCAGAGCTACAAGCTGATCAATTCCATGCTGCATGGATGGAGTAATTCAAGCAAAAAGGCCTACAAAAATATTAGGTTGATATGTAAATTTGGAGTTTGTTAAGCAGGAGACTCATTACCTTTTTGCCCAATTTTTACCACATATTCAGGGAAAGTCTGTGTCAGCCTGTGCTAGTTGTGGTCAGTCTAAGGATGAATCCACAAGAAAAAACAGTTGATGTGAGTTGGGGTGAAGTCTGGAGTCCGCAGGCATGTGAGATGAACCAACCTAACTTGACCTTAGTCAAATACACCTGTCTGAATATTGTGACAAGTATATTTGGTGTTAAACAGCTTGTTTTCCTATACTAAAACACATTACGCTATGTTGAATTACGAAGGTGAGAACCCTGAACAATATGAAATAAACCCACGGGCATCACACAAGCTATCAGCTAATAAACTACAACCAGATAATGATGAAAAAATAAAAAACAACAGATAGATAGTGAGATATTCAGGAGTAAAACACAGTAAGTAATACAAGGCCTTAGGAAATAAACCTTATAAGCTCAGACATTTGCTCAGGGGAGACCCTTTTGGTGAAGTTATTATTTTTCTATTTGATTATTTTCTTCCCCAAAAGCCCTTTGATACTTAATAGGATGTATTAAAGTTCCATTTTAATGTATTTCATTAGAGGAATGTACCCCAGGCACCTTGTTATGTTTGCCTCTATGACATGCACAACAATTGCCTGTTCACTGTGTGCAGAGGCAGAGGGTGGAGCCTAGAATACGTTGCCTTCTATCCACATTCTTTTGAACAGTTGTTTGCCAATAAAAAGGAAAAATGAGTCAAATATAGAAATAAAATTTAAGCACAATCATCAGATGTCACCAATTATTTGATCATATGGGCTAACAACATACCAACCCCCCAGCATAGCACTCCCCCACCACAACCACCACACACACACACCATCCAATGTTCGATTGAAGTAAAATGTTAAAAAAAGTCTCTGCCAGTCTGAAAATCTCAGGAATAAACAACACTTGATGTAAATAAGCTGTTTGTGGACGACGAGGGGAAAAACTAATCCATCTGCACCTACTGGTCGTCTCTGTGTTTGCAGTCATAGCTGGCAGAAAGGCTAAAAACCTGAGCGTGTTGTCCACCCCGCTCCTATGATGTCCCCTGTATTTGCAATATTGTTAGGTTATTATTTTTTGGAAACTAACAGTCTGCTAGGTCACAAAGGCTCTGTCCCTAAAATGAAAGCTGCGGTGTTCTATAATTATAAAGATTAAACGGACAGAAAACAGAGCCTACTGTTCTTTTTTTTTTTTTCAAAAGATGTCAAGTGATATTTTTTTGTCTGATCATTTTGTGGCGGCGATGTTAATAAAGTCCTTCAGGAAAGGAAGTAAGGATACAGATTTAATAAGTCAAATAAATTTTAATGAGCTGAGAAATATATATTTTTTTTATTATACTCGTTTTATTCACTCTCTTTATTCCTTGTTTTATCTGTGCTTGTTTTTTTAAATTGTTTCAGAAATGATTCTCTAGATGTGCACTCTGGCCAAATATCTAGATGAACAAAGTACAGGGGTTGGGCATCCAGGGCAGCGACTGCAATGGAGGATAAGAATTTAACCCATTACATATTCAGTATGAATCCTTTTAATTAGTTGTTTTTTTTAATTGAAACTTTTGTTTTTCTTATTTTTTATATTGCACTACATGATAGTGTGCGTGCAGCATCCAAACCTGCTCTCTGATTGTTTTATTTTATGGGCTCAGTGCAGTTCAGTCAAAAATAAAAGCTAGATTAGACTTACCTGATATAACTAAGGATGACAAAGCAGCAAGACCTATTGTATTTTTATAAATGGGGACAGATAGTGTGACTTTTACTTCTTTCTGCTCATTTTTATTAATTATTTTGGTTGTTACATAAATGAGTTCTGAATAAATAAGTTTTGTTAATAATATAATATAATATAATAAACGAAACTAAATCACGTACTTAATAGTTGTTCAGATCAGTTCAGTTTCTTTAGTTTTATATATATATATATATATATATATATATATATATATATATATATATATATATATATATATATATATATATATATATATATATATATATATATATATATATATATATATATATATATATATATATATATATATAGTATTACCAGAACTTCAACAGTGAGTTGTTGGCTCATTGTTTACTGTGCTGTCTTGTTTGGCGTCCTTAAGACAGAAATGGCTGTTTGCATGTGTGCATGAAAGTGCAGAGACTTACTCATGATCCAGAACACCGGTGGCTGTCTGGCCCTCAAACTGCTGCTGCTGCAAGATGCTCTCAAAGTCCTCCATGCGCTCGTCGTGGTTTTCCATGTGAGCAGGGAGGTGACAGTTCAGAAAGCAGATGCTGTGGCCAAACACCATCATTCGGGCACTAACACCACCTTTATTGCCCTGCAGCATGAACATAGCAGAAGGCAGAAGTTTTTAAAATTGACTAAACTGAAGGCTTCTAACACTTTAATTAGCACTCAATATGCTAAATGATTGTATTAATCTTTTCTATTGTATTCCTTTGGGTAGAACTGTGATAGCAGGATATGTGAGTGATTTTCATCAGTAATTGTAGAAAACAAATCCAAGAACAGTAGGCGGCATGGCATGTATTGACTTTATTTGCTGGTATGCTCCACAGCAAAACAGGAAGTGCTCTCATTAAAGAGAAGACGGTATAAATATTTAATGAATAGTACACACGGGGGGACAAAATGAGTGAGTGGATTATCTGTTGCTACTTATCTGACTTCCTAAAACATTGTTCAGTAGAAAATGTGGCTTTCTTGGCAAATACTGAAAGAAAGTGATCAAAAAGTCTATAATAATAACGAAGGTACTCAAGCTGTGGTACAAGTACCCCTGGTGGTGCTTAGGTTAATTTTACTTTTACACTAAAGTTATTTTTCACATTGATCTTTTCTTTAGAAAGAAATTATTTAGTGCCTTCAAGAATAAATCTAAAAAAAAAAAACAACTGCAGCAGGTAACAGTGAAATCAGAATAAACGATGGAGGTAGCCAATTATCCTCTGAAGATATTAGGCACTACTCTAAAACAAGCACCCTTATTTTCAGTTCACAAGCTAGTGAACTAGAGGGATGTTGTGTTCAGGGATTAACTTGATTGATTAAGGAGAAATTTACTTATAACGTTGACTCAATAGTCAAAATGTTAACATAAATCTGTGTTTTGGGGGCTAAATTCTTTGTATTCAAACACTAAAAATGTTTCCACAGAACAAGTTGTAAAAATTCATGAAATAAAACCATATTTTTAACATTATAAGTTAGATAAAGAACAGCAATAATAATAATAATAATACAGACTCTGACTATTAAGTTGTATACTTCAAATTACTAGTTAGCACTGCATTTGCTTCTCTTCTTTTGTAGATTAAAAAAACATCTTTTGAAAATTGCACAACACAATTATTTTATTCTCACGAACCAGTTTCTGAATTAATATTGTCTCATAAGGTGGATATAAGGTTACACCACCGGTTCAGTTTGACCATTAATGTTAAAAGAGAGCCTGTCAGTTAAATCCAAACGTCCTCCTCTCTAGGCTGTTTAACTGAACAAAGCTGAATTTGATAAACAAATTAGAAGAACTGATAAGATCCGCTCTTTCCTGCCTAGGCCCAGTGAGTCTAAGCTACTAATGCATTAGCACTGGCAATTCTAGCAGAACTAAGCATGTAAGTGGCCATATTACCCAGTAACCCCCCAGCCCTGTGCGGGTGGTCTCTGTCTGGACTCCACGGAGGAAAGGCAGATGGAAGTATTTGGCAAAAACCAGCAGTAACAGGCCCTGCATTCGCTGGGATGTCACCTGAGGGACAGAAATGTAAAGCTTGATCAGGGTAGAGGTATGGAAAGACAAGATAGATATGAGGAACTATTTTGCATGAGTTACACAAAAGCACACTGAATGAATGCGAAATATCATGACCCTTCCTAAAGCTTCTTTAGCCCTGCTCTGATAAATTCATTGAATACAGAGAAATAAACAACACACAGTTTCTCCAAACCTGGAAGAAAAAAACTATAACGTTAACACTTTTTATTCTCTGACCTCCTTTCGTTCCTTGTGCTGCATTACAGTTTGCTTGTCTTGACAATTGCATTTCCCTGACATATAACAACACTGGAGGCCTTTTAGTAGGGTTAAATGCAGAAAAAAACCTGACAAGTCAACTGTTTTTTTTCCCTCATTCCCATCATGTACACATGTTCATCCTTCCCTCACCCTCTGTCAAGTCGTTTACAGATCCCCACCCCCAAACCACAGTCTGAAGAAGCACAATCACACCCGGACTGAAATCCCTCACAGGCATAGATCCCCACGTGACCAACCCCTCTATGCCTGCATGCCAACAGCCTATTGTTGCATAAGAGTATCAGGCCAACTGAATGGGCGACCAACTTTGATTTCAGCTTGCTGATTTGGAATAGCTGTAGAATGCCTGCAAACCAAAATACTAGCTGTACCAAATCTGCTGGATTGTTTCATGCTGCTGTTAGAGATGATAGTGACAATCAGCAGAAATGTTGTGGTGAATCCCCAATAAATAAAACCGTCCTGTCAGGGTTGTGTTAATGCAGTCAGTGGCTGATTGGCAGAGCTGCACACAGAGGACTGGAGTTTGACACCTGTTTATTAGAAGCAGCAAAATACTTTAAACCTGGGCGGAGGTTGAGGTTCGCCTCCCAGCATGACAACAACCCTACACAAACAACCTAAGGTATAGTGTAATGGTTGAGCTCAAAGCAGTTTCCTGTGTTAGAATGGCCGACAAACCTGCATTTCAGACTTAAAATCTGATATTGAGGTGCTCTTCATCCAGTCTGATTAAAGCACTGAATCTAGATACATTTGGTTTTTCACTGCAAGTGAAAATATTAATGCAGAGTTCCAGTGAATGACTGTTCTACAAGACATTGAATCAAATACCCTCATAGCTTATATATGGCCAACTTTTATTTTTTTATAGTAAAAAAGATTCAAAGTAAACTCAATGTGTCCTTTTCTTCACCTTCCTAATTAAAGGCTCCATTGTGTTGGTGTATCTGAAGGTCCACCGTCCTGCATCTTTTTAGATGTGTCTCTGCTTCTGAATCAAACTGATGAATCACCTCTTTAGTATGTAGAATTACAGAGCCCTGTTCTATAAAAAAAAAAAACCCTGAATGTAATATATTTAAGCTCTGGCTTGTAACATGACAAGATAGGGAACATCTTCTAAGTGGTAATATTACTTTTGCAAAGCATAGGAACTTCCTATTATAGAACATTGTGTCGTAAACATCCTGTGTCGTAAAGGCCCTGACCTACTGTCTCACAGGAAGTAAACAAAGACTACTTTAGAAGAGGCTTAAGCTAATATAGCAGGCCAAGAAACAGCTGGGGGATGGCATCAGTTTCACTGTCACAGGCCAGTCCACACTGACAACATGATCCAAAAAATAAAACACCACCCTGGGAGACATTTGTCCAACACTCCTTTGCTTGACAGCTCACTCACACACACTCTGGCTCAACATGGCGACTGTTGCACGCTTTACTGCAGAAGCAGTCGTTGTAGTGCCTACCACAGCTGCAACGTGTGATTTCGTGTGACAAAACCAATACACATTTCTTCATGCAAATGCTTTATAAAGATGTTTATGATAGCAGATATACTTTAATATATCTCAGTATTATTAAAATTTGTATGCAGCCCTCAGTGTATAAGCTATTAGGCTACAAAGGTAGAAAGCACAGGACAACGAACCAGCTGACATACATGTCTATTATAAATCATCACCCTGTCCCTGTTGCTATGAACACAAAAAGAAGAGATAAACCCTGTCGATATGTAGTATGCACAAAGATGAGCCTTTTACCTGTTTATTTTGAAATTATTATTATTCACAACAGCAAAGAAACCATTGCTTACCAGCACATAACCAAAGGGGCTCAGTCTCTCCATGCAGACCTCGCTCCACTGGTCTGTGAAGAGGACATCTTTGAGTCTTTTGTTAATCATGGAGTTCACTTCCTGCAGCCTTGGAGAGACAATGATAAACAAAAAATATAAATAAACCCACAACAATTTTTATTGAGATCACATTTAAATCTAAACCCGACACTTCATTACCAGCTAGGTCTACACTGCTGTGAATCAGCTTTTATTGTAAAAGAGTGTCTAGTCAAAGCATGAACTCTGTCTTTAAAAAAAATCGAGTCATTCTTCAAAATAATATGTTTTTAAAATAATTTTCTACAAAAACAATGGTTCAAAATCTTTCAATGAAGTAAAATACTGATGTAAAATTGATGTCTGTTATCACAAGCTCTCTAGTTGTCAGTTGTCAGAGCCCAGTTATTGGCTTTTATGAGGGGAGTTATTTATCAAACAATTATCTGAAATGTTTAACTGTGAAAAATAAAGTTGAAAGCTAAAATAAAAAAAGTTTTTCCCAGCAGAGGACAAGCCAATATAAAAGTGTGGAACGCATTGTTGTGACCCTCACAGGACACTCACCCTATGATGTACATGTCAGTGTTTCCGTCCCCCACGTTCAGTCCCAGCAGAGTGGTGATGTCATCGGGCGGCGTGGCGGAGCCCACGTTCCAGGTGATGATGTGCAGCCTGTCAGGAGAGGGTGTTACGTAAGCTCCCACAGCCACTCATCTCCTACAGACCTGAGTCACAGCTGGAAGACTGGATGAGACAGCAACCTCTGCCGCAACATGTCTTTTCCTTCATGGCCTGCCTTTGCTTTTATTCTTTCATCATAGCAAGAGATGTTATAAATGTGTTCCTGCTATTAAAATATTCTTACATCGGGTCGTAGGCTTTCAGTTTGGTCTAATTAGACTACAGAATTCATAACTTCTCAATTAATACGCCAATTAAATGTTGATATTGTTCAATCAGTAATCAAATAGCAAAAGTTGCCTTAAGGAGGATTTAAAGCAGGTGAAGCTAAAAATATGCCACTAAATTTTTCATATTAAATGCAAAATATTTAATTTTTATTTTCAGTTTTGGCATAGGAATTGCTTGGTGGGTTGTTTTTTGAGCTAATGCTCTGTGTTAGGGTCTGCATATCAAATCGATTACTAAACTAGTTGACAATCATTTCAACAATCAATTCATCACGATTAATCCGAATAATTGTTTCAGCCCTAACCTGAAGGTTTTCTGTGGAAACAAGCCAGTCTATGAGCAAATGACAACATGCTATAGCAAAAGCAGATGTTTCTTCGCCACAGTCAACATTTATCTATAGGTGCAGCAAAGTGGTTGTGTCCATGTGCAAAAATCTTTTAGGAAGGACTTATTACACCTAAATTACTTTTAACCCTAATCCTCTCAGCCTTTACATTATCATGTGACAAAGTTGGATGGATACCAGGGGTGAATTTCATTGCTTATAATGTCCCATCAGAGCAGAGGTAACTTTTTAGCTCTATAGCCTAAATAAAAGTCAACTCCAAACCAATCTCAACATAAAAATCAATTATTTTTTGATTTACCTTTTTTTTTTTACTAATGTCTGACAACAGAAATCCCTTCTATTAGCTTGGACATTTGATTAGCATGGAGGTTACTAGCCTGACGTAGTACTACTCAATTCTAGTCAGAATATGAGTCTGATACTGCTCCATAGAGCTGTGATTATGGGGCGTGTTTCGAACGAACCAGGAAAAAAAATGCCTCTGCACTCAATTGGATAGACCTACAACCAATAAGAGCAACGGAGTGCGTGACGTATGTTAAGCCAGGCACAGTTGTTGTTAACAAAAATCAAAGCGTGCAGTTGCACGCCTAGAATAAGAAGATGAGCCTTGATCGCGTTTCTCTGTTCCTCTTTTAAAATTAATTTGCTGTCGATATCTTCTAGAACAGACCTAATAGCAGAATCTACACACCTCAACTCTCCAGCGGCAGCCATTGTTGTTGTCACCCATGCGCGCTTTGGTCACGTGGTTGATTACGTTACTGTTGATCATCTGTCCATCAACGTATAAAGCCCGCCCTGACAATTTGATTGGCCCGCCAGATATTGTGCGAGCATACTCGCGCTACTACTGAGCAATGCCAGACCGAACTTCCCGACCTCAAATGTGTTGGCGGGACTAAGTTCGGAATGGCACCCTGGCTAGGAGGTTACTGGAGTGCAGTGAAAACATTGTGTGTCCATTAAAGCAGTTTGAGATGATTTTCTGCTTTGTTACATGAGGGGTACACTGTGATCAAAAGGGATGGACAAAGTCAGCAAGAATACTCAGGTAGGCTGGGACTAAGGAGCCCAGAGAGTGCCAATAAAATCCCCTGTTTTCATATCTCATAGTTATTTAATACAGCAGTATTCATTTATAAAGCTTTTATTTAAAAGCTTTATACCAAATCTGAATGTTTCAATAAAATTTGGGACTCAGCAACGTAAAAGTCTTCTCAGTTGGTTATTGCTAAATATTTTCAGCCTGGGTCCATTTTAGCCTCAGTTTCCTGATTTTTCTATTCGTGCTGCAAAGTTTGATGTGTTGATTTTTTGTTTTTAAGGTAATGACTGGTTAATAAGGCTGCAGCTGCCTTTCTAGTAGCTCCAACCACTAAAGTTCCTCGTCTGGTCTCTGATGTAAACAAAAAGAAATATATATAATTTCCGCAAAACTGCCACTTACTTGTCTATACATTGGAGAAGTGTTTAAAAAAAAACATTCAGAGACAGCAGCAGCATCCTGATACGTTCCAATTCACAAATCTATTTTCCTCTCTACCTACATACAGTGAGTTGCTGTCATGCAATTGGCAGACTTATAATTAGTGTTGCAAAGCAGTCTAATAAGTCAAGAATGTTTAAGTCTGTAAACAAATACATTCTTTATATAGAAAGTATAAAATAGGCTAAAAGTTAAAACAAATCGATAGTAGTTTATTACAAATCCTGCAGCATGGTTTGTCTGGATTCAATGTATGGAAATATGTGGTATGTTTACTGAGGCCACTGTGTCTCAGCTATCTGGGAGTGAGATGCCTAATAAAGCATTCCGAGACATCAATGTCAGCTCAGAAAACCAAGAGATAAAGAAACCAACCTGAAGTCCTCCAGAGTCTGGGGCTGAGTGTCAGCAGTGCCGGCCACAGACAGGGCTCTCTGTGCATGCGGGTTCAGGTGGGAGGGGACAGGTGGCTGGGGCATGGAGGCTGCTCTGACCGGGTGGTGACCTGGACCCTTTGGACCTGCCTTAATGCTTGGCCCGGTGTGCTCGCCAACAGGGCGCGGTTTGGTGTGACTTACCACAGCGCCGTCAGGAGAGCTCTGATTCTGGTTCATTAATGGACCGACTTCTGTGTTGGGTTCAACTCCAGGTTCTGAAATATCTACAGATCCCTCAACCCTGGCAGTTCTCTGGGGCCGCCGAGGTCTTGGAGGCGCCGGAGGTTGGCCGGCGCCTGAATCAGTGCCTGCGTCCTGGCCTGAAGGTGCTGACGATCCCTCTGCTCCACGGCTTGGTCCATCCTCCTCCATTTTGTTTTGGCTCACATCAACTTGCTCCATTTCTGTGATTTCTATGGGAACAAAAAAAGAGATAAATACTTAAACTGGTGTTCTATTATGTATAGGAAATAAAGACAGTTTGGTTTGTATTCATCCCCTATATTCAGATACCCCTTAATTCAGTCCCCATTGAAGTTCAGAAGATCCAAAGTTCATGTGGGAGAATCAGTTTAATGACAACCATTAGTCGTCTACTCTAGAAATCTGACCTTTATCGGAAAGTTCACAAAAAAGGACACAAGGTAAATATGTGAATGGAGTAGGGCTGGGTGATGCTGCCGTAAAATAAAAGCTTTTTAAAGCCATATTACCATGTCCCCATTATTTTAGCCTAACAAATCCGATGAATTAACTTTTTTCACAATAACAAAAATGACAAAATGACGCACACCCTTTGGAAGGTTAACTTAATTTAAAAGGGCAACAACATTCAAGCTGTAAAAATACTTTTTGGGCAATATTTCATAACAAACAATAAAAATATAATTCAATTTTATTTCAGTTTACTTGTATAACGCCAATTATCAACACATGTCATCTCAAGGCACTTTACAGTTCACCAGATCATACAGTAAAATTGTTTCAAAATTTTCTATCTAAGGATTGCATCGACTCTTTGACTCAAAGGCAATCCCTCAAACTAAGCATGCTTGTAGCGACAGTGGAGAGGAAAAACTCCCTTTTAACAGAAACAAACCTCCAGCAGAACCAGGCTCAGTGTGATAGGCCATCTGCCGAGGCCGACTGGGGTTCAAGGAGACAGAAGCAGAGATACAGAAATAAGCAGAGCCAAAAAGGCAACTGTAAAAGGCGGCCCCAGTTTCCCCAGCCACATCCAGCCAGTCACAGTCAGAGAAACAGGACTACACTGAAAAACTGGCCGATATCCAACATCTATAAACAAAATGTTAAGCCTACCCTTAAAAGTAGACAGGGTGTCAAGTACTAAAACTGGTAGTTGGTTCCACGGGAGAGGAGACTGATAACTAAAAGATCTGCCTCCCATTCTATTTTTAGAAATTCTAGGAACCACTAGTAAACCTGCAGATTGAGAGCAAAGTGCTCTGTTAGGAACATAAGTAACAATCATATCTGATATAAGATGGAGCTTGGCCATTTAAGGCTTTATATGTGAGAAGGGGGACTTTAAATTCTATTCTGGATTTAACAGGAAGCCAATGAAGAGAAGCCAGGATAGTTTTCATCAGAACTGTAGCTGCAGCATTTTGGATCAGCTGAAGGCTTTTAACTACAATTTGTGGACTTCCTGATAGTAAAAAATTGAAATAGTCCAGCCTTGAAGTAACAAATACATGGACTAGTTTCTCAGCATCAACCCTGGACAGGATATTTATAAGTTTTGCAACATTGTGCAGATGAAAGAAGGAAATTCTAGAAACCTCTTTGTATAGGATTTAACTGACAGGCCCTGATCAAAACTAACACCAAGATTTTTTACTTTATTATATGAGATCAATTTAATCCCATCCAAATGAAGTGACTGGCTAATCAGCTTATTTTTCAAATACTCTGGTCCAAAGACTATAACTTCTGTTTTGTCTGCATTCAGAAGGAGAAAGTTAAGAGTCATCCAGGTTTATATGCCTTCAAGATATGTCTGTAATCTATGTGATGGGTTAGCTTCATCTGGATTTATAAACAGATATAGCTGAGTATCCTCATCATAACAGTGGAAATTAATCCCATGCTGTTTATTAATTCTACCAATTGGGAGCATATATATAGTAAAGAGAATTGGTCCTAGCACTGATCCCCGTGGTACTCCACAGGTAACCCTGGAGCACAAGGAAGATTTATCATTAATGTGAACAAACTGAAATTGTTCAGATACACATGATTTAAACCAGTCTAGTGTTGTTCCTTTAATTCTATTTGTCTATCCAACAGGACAAGCACATCATTAGCAACCTTCACCAGAGCTGTTTCAGTGCTATGATGAGCTATAAAGCCAGACTTAAACTCTTCACAATGTTCACGCTGGTATAAGCAGTCACACACTTGTTTAGCAACTACTATCTCAAGAATTTTAGATAACAATGGAAGATTGGATATAGGTCAACAATTATAAATAGTCAAAAACAGAACAATCAATGAGACTATTTTATTGATCAATTACCCAGCCATAAAAAGAATATACTCCAGTTTTGCATGATATAACAACATGCCAATATAACTTTGAACACACATATCAAAAACATGGTGGCGGCAGTATCATGCTGTAAAGACAGAACAAGAAACTGGAAAGTAAACCTAGTGTAATAGAAAAGTCCATCCTGTTGATGACTGTAAGACTTTCCTGAGATCCTATTGATCAATTTCCAGCCTTGTCACGGCATCAGAAACAATTGAACACAGCTAAATGTAATGATTTCAGAAAAAAACAACAACCACGAGAACTAAAACCAATAGAGTAGAAAGACATGAAAGGAGACATCTGTTCTAACCTGAACACAATTTACTATTATCTCTACTGCTGCCACAGCAGCCCAAAGGTTTCCAATGAAAATCTGAATAACTGAGTCAGTTTAAATTTACTCAAAGCCAGCAGAGGAACAACTGCAGGCTCCAAAACCTCCTAAATCAGCAGCCTGGGTTAAAGTAAAGTGAGTGAGGAAGCTGCAGAGAGAGATACAAAGAGAGTGAAGCAGGCTGAAATACAGGATGAATTTATGACAAATAATTTGAAACACAATCCATTCAGTTGTTTATGACAAGCATGAATTCAAAAATAGATTAACAGTTTATATTTGAGTGTGCAGCATAGTGAATTATTCACACATGCCACTTCATCAAAATTCAGACTAATTACCGGTATAAATAAAATTAGAAAGAAAAATGAGTTTTCATTTCTAAGTTCTAATTTCTGAGCAGCTGCTTGATATTCAGATTTCTTCCAAAGACCTGTAAACAATAAAATACAGTATTTGTGGATAAACAGAATATTCAAGTCTGTAACCTATACAATATTTCATGTAGATGTTTGTGTTAGTCTGCCATATCAAAAGATACTCCTTTGATTTCCTCCAGAAGCAGATCAAAGTAAATGACTGCTGGGGTCCAACTTAATCTTTGAGAACAAAATTGACTCCTTTAACTTTTTATTAGACTTCTAAATTTATGTTATAATTATTATGGTGCCTTATAACACTTTCTGTTTCATTTATCAGAAGCTTTGTCCCTTTTTGGATGTTAAATGCCTCCAACAAACGTAAACAAATTATACAGTTGTTTACAATCTGCTGTACATGTGAGCATGAAAAAGCTTATTTAAGCAGCCTGACCCCAATCCATCAGTTAGTGGTGGTGGAAGAGTTCATCATAAAGACAGAAAAAAAAAATACCAGAGTCAGATTTTTTATGAAACTGAGAAGCTTTAAGCAGCAAATGCTGATGGTTACCACAGCCCATTCTCCACATGACTGGAATGGCATCCTGTGCATTGTGCTCAGGCTTTGGGTCAGTCGGGAGGGAGGGAGAGAGAGGCTCCTGCCCAGGGACACAGAAACAACAGTGCTCCCGTCTAATTATTCACATGACCTTGAGCAGACTGAGGCCCCGACTTTCATGCTGTGATGAGAGCCGTCTTAGTGTTTCACATGTGCTCAAAAAAAAAAAAGCGAGGGGCTGTTTTTCCAGTCCAGCAATAACCTGAATGTTAGATGGACATAGTGTACTCCTGATGTCTGTGCGCAGCATTGAGTGGGCATACGTGGATGTGAGTGGGTGCAAAATGAGGAGGGGGACAGGAGTGACAGCCCCCTTCAATGGGAACACTGTCTTTTAGCAGAGTCACTCTCTACTGGGTCCCTCACACTTCCTCTTTCCTCTGATAGTTTTTCTAGGCTCTAATCCTTCTATGTTTCTCTTATCGCACCATTTTCCAATCCTGTCTGCCCCCACCTCTTTGCCCAGACCCATTGTTCCATTTTACCCACATTTGTCGCTCCCCCTTCTCTATCTTTACTTCTCAACACAAGAGGAGAACCTAAAACGTTGGTCCCAGCTATTCCCATCACCTCGCCTCCTTATCTTCCTCTGGACAAGCCAACATTCTATGCGTTGTTTTCTCCTCGCAATCACAATCAGTGACGTCAACAAGCCGTCACAACAAATATTTTTCAATAATAAAAGAGAACAAGCCAAGCATTAGCTTTTCTGGGAACAATTAGCACTTCCATTTCCACTCCAGCTGACAGAGAAAGGAGTGAAATGATTGGATAATAACAAACCTGTCACAGTGTTTACATGCCTCTTCCTGAGGGCTCCAGAGCTGAGAGCCAGGAAGCATGCAGTTAGTGCAACCAAAACAGCAGCCCCCAGTCGGCCTTTCTTGGCTCCTCTGGCAGGATTAATCGAAAACAAAGATGGTTTTAGATGGATGAGTCAGACAAAAATGTGACGAGCCAATTTGCTTTAGATACTGAGGGTGAAAACATATCAGCTGTTCTGCTTGTGCTGATCATTCTTCTCTAAAACCCCTGGCTGTGTATGGCTGCATGGTGTTTATTCCTGTCAGATTCTGATCTCTTTAGTGTTTAATGTAGAAACTGAAGCTATTCAGCGCGCTGGTGATGAGCGCCAAGAGAGCCGTATTCCCCTGTGACAAGGATACTAATAATGACCAAGACAGGAATGAAACCAGCTGCTGCTGCACAGCTGTAAAAGGCTCCTTCTAGGTCCTAATGCCAAATTGCATCACTTCCCATTTTTCCAGGGGTGAGGGCATCAATTGTAGACCAGGTCATAGCAAAGGCTGCAGCAGATTAAAAACATTGTTCACCCTTAGTCCTGAATATATAGCAATTATTCTGACATTGATAGGAATCTGTAACTGTACCTTAAAAATACACTATATTGCCAAAAGTATTTGCTCACCCATCCAAATTATTGGAATCAGGTGTTCCAATCACTTCCATGGCCACAGGTGTATAAATTCAAGCACCTAGGCATGCAGACTGTTTTTACAAACATTTGTGAAAGAATGGGTCGCTCTCAGGAGCTCAGTGAATTCCAGCGTGGAACTGTGATAGGATGCCACCTGTGCAACAAATCCAGTCGTGAAATTTCCTCGCTCCTAAATATTCCACAGTCAACTGTCAGCTGTATTATAAGAAAATGGAAGTGTTTGGGAACGACAGCAACTCAGCCACGAAGTGGTAGGCCACGTAAACTGACGGAGCGGGGTCAGCGGATGCTGACGCGCATAGTGCGAAGAGGTCGCCAACTTTCTGCAGAGTCAATCACTACAGACCTCCAAACTTCATGTGGCCTTCAGATTAGCTCAAGAACAGTGCGCAGAGAGCTTCATGGAATGGGTTTCCATGGTCGAGCAGCTGCATCCAAGCCATACATCACCAAGTGCAATGCAAAGCGTCGGATGCGGTGGTGTAAAGCACGCCGCCACTGGACTCTAGAGCAGTGGAGACGCGTTCTCTGGAGTGACGAATCGCGCTTCTCCATCTGGCAATCTGATGGACGGGTCTGGGTTTGGCGGTTGCTAGGAGAACGGTACTTGTCTGACTGCATTGTGCCAAGTGTAAAGTTTGTTGGAGGGGGGATTATGGTGTGGGGTTGTTTTTCAGGAGCTGGGCTTGGCCCCTTAGTTCCAGTGAAAGGAACTCTGAATGCTTCAGCATACCAAGACATTTTGGACAATTCCATGCTCCCAACTTTGTGGGAACAGTTTGGAGCTGGCCCCTTCCTCTTCCAACATGACTGTGCACCAGTGCACAAAGCAAGGTCCATAAAGACATGGATGACAGAGTCTGGTGTGGATGAACTTGACTGGCCTGCACAGAGTCCTGACCTCAACCCGATAGAACACCTTTGGGATGAATTAGAGCGGAGACTGAGAGCCAGGCCTTCTCGTCCAACATCAGTGTGCAACCTCACAAATGCGCTTCTGGAAGAATGGTCAAAAATTCCCATAAACACACTCCTAAACCTTGTGGACAGCCTTCCCAGAAGAGTTGAAGCTGTTCTAGCTGCAAAGGGTGGACCGACGTCATATTGAACCCTATGGATTAGGAACGGGATGTCACTTAAGCTCATATGTGAGTCAAGGCAGGTGAGCAAATACTTTTGGCAATATAGTGTACTTTTTCTCTATTAAACAAATGTATAAAAAATAACAGCATTTACTTTGATGCAGTATTTTAATAAAATGACTATGTTTGACAAAAAAAAAAAGAAATCTTATAAAAGATCGGGGTCATAGGTATTAATGCATAGAGCATTATAACCAACCGGCTGGATTGTTTTTATCTAGTAGGTGCATAACATCCATGGAGGTATGATAAAGGCTCTGACCACAACTTGATTGATGCATCTCTACTTAGAAACTCAAGCTGCTGTCATACTGGATCCTATCTTAGCATGTTTGCTGTTGAATTGAAAAACATGCGGTGTGTGGGTCTAAATATGAGGGAATGAAGGAGAACATAGCGGAACATCAGGTCCTGTTATGCTGTTGATGCATACCCAGACAGAACACTGTGTTTGCAGGGATTAAAGGTGTGGGTTGGACAGTGTTCTGCTAATTTTCAGTTTTTCCTCTGATGAACTAATATTCTGGTAAAACTCACTTTCTTTCCTGCAATCTTTACAGTTTTGCATGATCTAGTAATATTTTAGGGTCATTGCTACAGGTTTGAAGTAACTGTTATGGCTATGTTCCATTAAGACAAATATGCAACAGTGTGACACACTAAGTACTGTACAAGAAAGCTAGTTATGGATGAAATATCAGATAAGCATGCTACAATGGCTACATTAAATGCATTTGCCCATATCCTCATTATTCCTCTCTTTTTTCACTGAAGACATTGCACCCAAGGAAAAGTCATAAGCAATTTGTCAAATGTATCATTTGCATGACGCTCAGGAGCACAAGAAAACTCTGTATAAGGTCAGCATATATGCACAGATAATGTCTACCACAATGGTCACAAACTCCTAATGATGTTTGCAAACCCAACAAAACTGCCTAACCACAATATGTATTTCACCATACTATTAGGTATGGTTAAGATAGTTATGTATGCTGTTTGAATGATTTATTTCCATTGAGTGTACCATTAACATGTTTGAAAATGCAATTGATTGCATTTACAGTGTGCTTCTGGTAAGCAGAACAGATGCACTATTTAATGTAGCTGTTGTACTGATGTAAGCTTTAGTTTTAGAACAACGTTTGTTGGGCTCTGACTGTGTGCGGCGATGGAAGCACTGTAAAAAACACATTGATACAATCAACAATGTTTACACTAGAATTACCAAATATACATATATATATAGAAAGAGAGAGAGAAACCAAGATTTAAACTTTGCCGTTCAGATTTCTGCAGTTAGTCTTTATAGGGCAAAAAACATCCAGCATGCATGATGCAAATAATTACAGATTATCACTCTCAATTAACCACCTGAGGAAAAAAACAACATTCAATGACCAACTAATTACAACTTAATAATCTGCATGCAACCATCTGCATACAAATGTCTTGTTCTTTAACTGAGATGCTGGTTCATTGGATACACATCCCTTCCTGCAACAACATCTTCATGGTTCACTGGCTGCTGTTCTAACAAATACCAAGGAAACTTGAGCAATGATGGCTGCATTAGGACTGCATGGACTGCTTTTGGACTCAAGCGTTGCCATAGGTGATCCTGCCTGCAGCTGCAGTTGCACTTTAATGAACAAACTACATACATGGTTCCTTCATGAAAGGCAGAAAATACATAGATTGTTTGGGAAAACAGTAGATCATAAGCATAATAAGTGTACAAAGGAGATGCTGTGACAGAAAAGTGAAGCCTCCTCTAGGCAGGAGATAATAAAATACACCAAGGACAGTTTTTATGCATAAAAAAGAGGACGAAGGTCGTTTAACTGTGCCAGTGTTTTGCATTAAAATATGATGATCTCAGACATGTGGGTGCCAACAGTCTGCAGCGTGTTCCTGTTTGAGATAGAGGATGGAAATATCAGTTTGATTCATCAGCAGATTGGAGAAAGGAAGACTGGGTGGGTTTTTACTTTATAACCGACTTTTAAAGCGGCAAAGCAGACAGAGAATGAAGGAATGTGTGGTAAAAACAGCAATAATCTTTGTAAACAGGAGCACTAGTCAATCATTGAACACCTTTACCTGTTAGGGCTCTGCTGTGCGGGATGCCTTGCTGCAGATGAGACGGAGAGGTCGTTAATAAGAGATCCGGGTGGGATGTTCTTCACGACTGTCACAGAAAAACACGGTGAACTTTGCTGCGCTGCCACCTCCGAGTGATCATCCTCCTCCTTCCTTGCTTCCCTACCTCCTCAGTCAGCGGTAGAGAGGAGGTGCAGCAGGTAGGTGGGCTTAAAGCGATGCTGACCGCAGGTTTGTCACCAGGCGGCGGGCTGCATCCTACATGAACAGTGGAGATCTACGGGCTGCAACCCTGACGCGTCCTTCAGAATGGAAAGGACAGCGAAATGCAGCAGAGCAGAGCGGCAGAAGCTTCCGCGAAGGAGCTGTAGGGTTGATAATTACACGGTATGAACACACACAAAGAGCTAAAACAGCTAGAACACGTTTTGGAGAGGTGAGAAGAAACGGTAAGCTAAATGGAGGCGCGCGCGCTTGGTCACCAGCAACACGCTGCGCCGATTCCTCTCTGTTTCCTTTTTAGATTTACGAGCTGTTATCTGAAACGTTATGCAAAAATTTAGTCATCCTTGTCGGTTCCTAAATGAATAGCATTTCTATGTGCTGTTAGTCTATACATTTGCCACACTGCCGCCTAGTGGTGTCTGTTGTGAAGCGCAGATTATAACGAAAACTGTTAGGTTAAAGTTTCGGAAAAAGAACAACCAAATACAGTTTGTTAAATAGGGCTTGATAAACAAACAAACAAAATACTTTAAACATACAGCTAGAGACAAACCGTCTAAATGGATCCCTTTAAGCTCAGCTCAGTCACCACAGACCAACTGATTAATTTCCTTTATGTTATCCACCTGCAGTATTTTACCCAGAATTGTTATTATGGCTAACGGCTGAAAAGTAATATTAGATTATATTATACTGGACTGCGACTGAATTATACAAATTTTGTCTGATATGAGTCACAAAAACATCAACTTTCACTAAGCTTTCAATTTTCAGCTCATGACTAAATCTTCTCTCAGAGAAATGAGCAGCATCTTATTTATTTGACTTTTTTCTGATCTATAAGTTTATGCACACAGAATACACTGATTAAGCATTTTCAGAAAGTCTAAATGATGATGATTTGGTGCTATAAGTTTCTGAAAGGTTAATGAACATCTGATTTAGTATGGAGGACCAGGAGATTCACTAAAAAAAAAAACATTTACCATTTCCAGTTTGACATTTAGATCATACAGAAATTGAACAGTGATTTGTAATTGCACACTTCATACAAAATTAATAAAGAAGAATTGTAAATTGTATCTATTGATTTATGATAAAATATAGTTTTATAATTCCAACTTTCCCTCTGATGATTCAATGCAAAATGTGCAAAAATAGTTTTCAAAAATGATTTCTAACAAAACGCCTAATGTTATAACATGTTATATTTGAGATGGTTGTATTTCTTTTTCAGTGACTCTGCAGGATTGACCTATGGATGGATTTTAAGACAATGCCTCAAACACTGCTTATTTGTGTGACATCTCTAAAATGTTAAAAGGAAAATATGCAACATATGAGGAAGAGACTTGTGGACCACCACAGGTCTTGTTGATTCATCATTGGATACAAATTCCAGATGCAGGTCAAATACTCCTATGTTCGAAACATGGTAAGCACCATCGGTTTTCATGTGAAATATGATTATCCAAGGTAAACCCAGAACTGTAGCAACATGAGCTGAAGGAAATTTAAAATGCTAGGCTGCGCAATCTAACATCTGTCCACAGTGCACAGGCAATCGACTTGATAATTATTTTCACGCGCTATGGTTATGCACGCCGGTTCAGAGATTCTGGGTACAGGTATGTAAGGATCTATCACTGTGCCTGGGTTGTAAAATCCTAATTTCCCCTTCAGTTTGCTTGCTGGGTGACTTTGAGGGAAGCTCTATGGGAAAAAAATCGGTTTGCTTGGCATTCACTGCATTATGTATCGCAAAGAAAACTATCCTCATGAATTGGAAGAGTAAGGATAAACTCAACATCAATCAGTACAGAGATCTGTTGTTGGATCATATTAATCTTGAGACAGCATCTGCATCCCCATCAGACCGATCTCTCTGGGCTCCCTTGATCGGCTCCATCACTTAGTGTAGTGGGGGGCTATGGGGTGCGTCTTGTGGGGCGCGGGGGCTAGTTCGGGGGTCCTTGGGTCCTGGGGGCTCGGGGGGGTGCTCGGAGCGGGGTGCCTGGCGGGTCTGGCCCGGGGGACTGTTGCCCCCGTCGGGGCGGGGTCTGGGGCGCCGCGGGGGGGTCCTGCGGCGGCCGCGTGCGGTGCTCTTGGGGGGTTCCGTGGTGGCGGACGTGGGCTACTGGCCTGGTGGCTGTGCTGCTGCTGGGTGGGGCTGGGCGCCGGGCATCGGTTCTTTTGTGGTGCTGGCCGGGGTGCTTCTGCTCTGCGGGGCGTCGGGGCGTGCCTCGTCTTCCGGTGCCGGGTTTCGGTGGTTGGCCGTGGTGCTTGCCGTGGTTGCGTCGTCCGGGGGGGGCGTGGGTGGTCGCGCCTGTGGCCGGGGTTCGTGTGTGTCTGTTGTGGGCGGGTTGCGGGCGTCGGGGGTCCCTTTGGAGTGCCCCCGGGTCGGGGTGTGGCTTCGCTCTGTTGGGGCGGGTGCCGGGTGCCGCGTGGTGCGGGGCATCGGGCGCGGCTTGGGAGTGGAGGGTGGCTCGGTGTTTGGCGGCGGGGGGGGGACGGGCCGTGGCCGGCGTGGCCGTCCTCCTCTCGGCGGCCTGTGGGCGGTGCGGGGCCGGAGCGGGGTGGGTCGTGCTGCTTTCGCGCCGGGCGCGGCGGGGGTGGTGGGGTCGCGTCTGCTGCTTTCTTTTTGCTGCTTGTGCCGGCTTCTGGCGGCTGGGGCGGCCTTGCTGCTCTGGCTCTCTGGCGTGCGCCGGGTGGGGCTGCTCTGTCCTTTGCTTTGCCTTGCGGCTGTGTTTGCTGTGGTCGGTGGGGGCGGGGTGGTTTCGTTGTGTTTTTGGGTGGGGGAGTCCGCCTGGGGGCTTGGTTGGTGCCGTCGGTTCGTCCTTGTCGGCCTTCCGGTGTTGTTTCTGTTGGGGCTGCTCGGGCCCCCGCATGCCGGCGGTGCGCTGCCGGGGGGATTCCTGTTCGGCGGGCTTGCCTGTCTCCTGGGAGGGCAGGCATGTTGACTTTTCTGGGGAGGAGCATCTGGGTGGAGGGGTCCTCGTGGTGTGGCGGTGGGTGTTGGGCACTGGCTTGTTTGCGGCCGTTCTTCTCCGGTGAGGGGGAGAATATTATAATTTTTTTGTTTTTGTTTTTGTTTGTTTTTTGTGTGGGAGGGGGTGTGTGGGCGGGGGGATCGGGGCTTGGAGTGGGGCTCGGGATTTGCGCTTAGCTGTGTTGTGTGGCTTTCTTCTTCTTCGGATTGGTGCTGTGGGACCGGTGTTGGGGGGAGTCGTTCGGGGGCCGGGGTCGGGGTGGGGGTGCTGGCGCCGGTGCCGGGGGTTTTTGGGCATTGCCCGGCCCTACTGCGGGGTGGGTCTGGGGTGGCTCCTTGGGCCTGGGATCCCTGGGGCGCATTGCCCTTGGGCGGGGTCCCCGGTGGGGGTTCGGGGGTTCGGGTTCTGTGGGGAGTGCTGCTTGGGTTCTGGGCCGGTGTACGCCTGGCTGTCTGTCCCTGCTGCCACGGCCTCTGGTGTGCCGGGGTGCCTCGGGGCCTGCTGGGCTGGGGGGGGGCATGGACATTAACACCTATGGCAAGTGCTTACCCCCTCACGGGTTTGCACTCTGTAAGTGGGGGAAGGGGAGGGAGGGGGGAGTAGGTATGATCTCGGCCTGGATGTCTTCTGTCGCTTGTGTGGTGAGTAGCTTGATTGTTATTGTAGGGGAGGGATTACATCTCCGGAGGGGGGGTGGGGGGTGGTGATAGAGGGAAGAAGATCTTTGAAGGGCTTTGGGTCTGGCTCCCTGTCTTGGTCCTGGTCCGTGCTGCCCCCTGGTGGGGCTTCGTCCGGGGTGGGGGCTCTGCGTGTTGCGCGTTGGCTGGCCGGCTGGGATTGTCCCTTCCCTTATTCATTTATTTATTTATTATTATTTTTTTTTTCTTATCTTCCTTTTATATTTTTTTATTTATTTATTTATTTTTTTTTATTATTTTTTTTTTTATTTTTTTATTTATTTATTTTTTTTAATTTTATTTATTTATCTACTTGTTTATTTATTTATTTTTTTTATTATTATTATTTTTTTGGATGGACAGGACGGGGGGGGGGTGGTGGAGTCGGCTCCGTGCCCGGCTGGCTGGTGGGTCCTGCTGCCGGTCCCGTGCCCCCGGGCTATGGTGGTGAAACTGGTGGGGCCCCCTTCTCTGGGGGGGCTCTCGGGGAACGGGGGTGCCTATTGGAGTCAGCGGGGGAGCTGGCTCCCTGGGAGTGCAGCAGGCACCCCAGTCCTTTGCTCCCCATCCCCGAAATCCTCCCTCTGCCTGCTCCATCACTCGGCCACACATGTAGGTTTTTGGGGAGGGGGTCGTTACTGGAGGGCCACACCTTCTGATGACGTCCCCCACCCCAATTTTATTTTGCATTTTAGACACTTCCATCTACATCATTTTCACAACACACATCTATGTAGGGCATTTTCGGGGGGTGGGGGTCAGGGCCACCGGGGGGGGGCTTATTTTATGGGCCTCACCACGGTCGGCCTCCTCCATCCCCTCTCGCATCTAGACATTGAGGGTTGAGGGTTGTCGAAGGGGGAGGGTGTGCTGGCACCGTCTATCTCCTGGAGGGGGGGTGGAGTGTGCCGGACACCCCCTCTTGGTACTCCCAGTTTTAATTGCATCTGAGAGCAACACGCAACAACACCACATTCGAGCGGGCGCAGTGAGGATCGGGGTCTTCTCACACCCCTGTTCTCCGGCTGCCGCCTGGAGTCTGGGGCCTGGAGGAAGAGCGGGCCACCTGGTCCGTGGTTTTGGCTGGGGCTGGCTGCGGGGCCTAGGTGGCCTGCTGGTGGCGGGGCTGTCACCTCTGCTCTCCCCAAAGAAGGTTGGATGGAGGGGCATGAAGTGCCTGGTTGAAGGTTTTTTTTTTTTTTTTTTTTTTTTTTTTTTTGTTCTTTTCGGGGGGGGGGGGGCGGTTCTGGTTGGGTGGCCGGCGCGGGATGGGTGGGCCCCGGTCCCGGGGGGGGCTCTTGCGGGGGGTGGTCCGGTCCGTGTGCGGGGTGGGGGGCCGGGCTTGAAGCAGGAAAGAGATGGGTTGGTGTGGCGGTGTCGCCGCTCCCCTCCCCTCACATCCGGATTTTAGGTTCACTTATGGGTCATCCGATAGTCCCGGGACCGACCACCGGTGTCACCGGGTTTTTGGTCCTGGTATTATTGGATGTGAGTGTTATGTGTGAATGTGTGTCTGCGTTGTTATTTTCTTTATTTATTATTATTATTATTTTATTCAATTTTTTTTTTTTTTTTTTTTTTTTTTTTTTTTTTTTTCCTGTGGTACGAGTGGGGGCACTAGGGAGGGAAGGCATGATTGAGATGGTGTGTTTTTTTTTTTTTTTTTCTTTCCCAGGTTGGGGTCTCAACCGCACCCTCTCCCAAATACATCTCAAGTCTCC